TGGTTGCTTCAGCCCTGAGCAATAGGAAGGGTGAGCACAGCGATGTCTCCTGCCTCTCAGAGCCATGAAGAAAGGTGGCACTGTGCCCAAGGTAGAGAAGTGGGGAGAGAAAGGATCAGTCTCTCTCTTGACACTAGGCAGATGGGGAGGAAGAAGTGGAGGGTTTTTTTGCTAAGCTTGCAAAACAGGGAATTCAGCCAGGATTTACACTCTTACCTGCCTCTTTCGTCACTTAGCCCAACACTTTATTCTGTAAAATCCCAATTAGCTGTTGTTTAAGAGTAGAAGCACTGAAATTCAGAGACTACATTAAGCCTCTCAAAGTTTGGCATACCCAGAAGTTGTCAGTTTTCACAGGGTTTGGCAGTCCAGGGTCTATCTTCTGCCAAGCCTTGCTGGTTTCCACAAGTCACATTTCTTCTGCTCATCTGGCCTGTGGAGCAAGTATGAATTCTCAGACCATGACAGATGGAGACAGGTAAAAGGAAGGGAGATAATGATCATAGCCATGTCCATCAAAACTCCTTGAGTGTTTTCAGCTTTAATTTATTACATAGTTGAACCTTTATCTCCTTACTACCAGGAATCTCTCTCTGCTGGCATTGTAGAAGGCTTCTGGGAATAGAGAGAACTTTTTTACTCTTGGGAAGCTCTTGATGGAGTTAATTGACTATCCATGGAGCACAGAAAGAGAACCAAGATGAACATAAACATAAAGCTTAAACTTTAGTTCCACTGCTGTGTTGTGAAGATCATCTGCTCTTTTGAGAGCATAACCTAAGGCAATGAAATACTTAGAACATAGACTGGAGTGGATATCTACCTCATGCCAGTGGAGACATGAACATCCCAACCTGGTTTCATGCCTTCTCTGCTGTTCAAATCTTCCTTGCCTTCACTGACCCCAAACTTTAACAAATAACTAGTCGATGAAGATTTGGTCACTGCATGAGAAGAGAGGAAGCCAAAGTTTCACCTGGTGTTCACATCAGGCCAAACTGAACCACTGTTATGAACTTACCAGAAAGCCATCACTCATGGGGGATTTGTAAAAGTGCTAAGTTTTCTTTATTTGCATTTTCCTTTCACTACCAATTGAAGGGAAAGACAAGAGAAGGGATAATACTTGGTCAGCAGAAACAGGATTTGTCTCCCTGAACACATAGCCAGACAGATCTGATGAGGAGGACACAATATATTTATATAGACCTTTTTCAAAGTGGAACCACACTTTAAATATTGATTTTCACTGGCATGCAAAATGCTGATATCCACAGTCAATTATGTCACTGCTTTATTATTTTATTTTTTAAATAAATTTTCTTACATGACAGGGTAGATCCTTAGTTCTCAGCCAAAAGAACCATCTCAGTAACATGCAAGGAACTGTGGGTTTGACTGAAATCCAGCTGGAGCATAAATTTCAAATCCAATTAATTGTAAGCAATATCTTTAAGGCATTTGAAGAACTATGTCTTGCTTAAAATTTCCTAGTCTGTAATACATATACGTTATATACAATAGTGCATATTTATATATACACACAGGATACACATATATGTGTGTGTATATATATACACACACCAGTTACAGTACTATACACAAAATTTTTGAACTTGAATGAAAACTTCTGTCAGCTTTAGGAAAGTGTACTAGACTGTGCCCACTGACGTGATAAACTCAGGATATGGCAGTTGTATAGTTCAAGTATTCTGTATCCTTCCCTTTTTCCCTGCTCTGATGCATAACCTTGCTGGAGCAGTGCAGACTCTGATTGCCCATGTCTGTAACCTCTTGTAACCTCTCAGACTTAGGATAGCACTGTGGTCATCATCGAGACTAGCAATGGCAGCATTGCCTTGCTGTGCCTTTAATTTCCAATCCATCAGCCTGGATTTCCAGTGCAATTTAGTTGCCTTTGTACCGAGATAAGCAATTTGTTTTATCTTTGCAAGAGTGCTTGTCTTGGACTTCCCTCGTAGTCATCCCAAGGGTGATGACACATTCATGTGACATCTGAAACAATGTATGCAAGATTACCTGACCACAATTTATCGGGGAAATGGATGAAAAATGCTTTCATTTAACTGATTAACATTTAATTAACATTGTTAATTAACATTGATTTTAACTTTTTCAGCTGAAGTGTAACACTTAACATTGACCTTAACTTTTAAAATCAAAGCTAGGTGCTAAGAAAGCTTGGAGAAAACCATGATTGATATTATGCATTATAATCTAGCTGTATGCAATGTGTTGAAGTTATGGAGTAATGTGCATTGTACCATATAAAAGTCTAATGATAGTTAATGTTAGTTAATTAAGATGAACACTGAATGGTATTACCCTGTCTCATATGGGTATTAACATCGTATTAGAGCCTAACAAAATATTATTTTAGTTAAAACCACATATACTGACTCAGTCTAGATTCTCTCTGAAATGAATTCTGAATCCGATTAAACTGCCTATTTCAAAACCATATGATGCTCCTGGATCTCAACACAGTAAATAGGAAAACAGGCTACAGTCTAATAGGATAAATGGGTCTTCTTTATTAAGTAAAAAAAAGAGATAACTTTATGCTTAGGAACTGTAGGACCATGGAGTAGAAATCTTCAGTTTATTGCAGGAAAATACATTACATTATTCTGTTCATAAGCTTAGCAAGCCTCATTTTCAGCTTATAAGGTTTTTCTTCTGTCTTTTCACACACTCCCATCCTGAACTCCTCCTAATGGACTGTTAATCCAGAACAACGCTTCTACTGTGGTGTATAAAAGACATGATCAGCGCTGCACCAGATCCCAGGACAGCCCTGTGTGTCCTCACTGATCACAGAGTAACATCAGTGTGCTCCTGCCTTGCCCCCGAGTGTGACAGGAATGACCTGAGCATTTAGCTTTCTGTAATCTCAGGTGTATTTAGCTACAAGAAGGTTCAGCCCCTTGAAGTGGGCTCAAACCACTGGTTGTTGCATTATATACTACTGAGGCAGATCAAAAAGCGCCTCTGATCTCTATCCACTCCAGAGTGGAAGACAGCTCTGTACACACAAACGTGCAGGGGACATAGGTATAAATGGAATTTTTCTCCTTTCCTTGCATTCATGAAAGTAGTGCAGGGCATCAATTAGATGTTCATAGTCTCAGGCAAAAAAGCAGTATCTAAAGAGAGGCAGAAATATGCAGAAATGCAAGAGTGCATATATCCTTTAAGCACATGAATATACATGTGATATTAAATCTGAGAAGGATTTAAAGAGACCGTATTGTACCTTTAATTAGCAGGTGGTGCTTCTTAGCATTGTAAAAGAGATGAGCCCTGTTAAGTGATCTGGAGACGAGCATAATGACTTTAGTGCTCAGGTTATGAAGGGCATTTCTATGAAGAGAAGAGCAGTATTAGACAGCCAAACTCTTCATACAGTCATATTTATTCTCCATAGTCTTATCAGCAGAGCCAGGTGGTCACAGGTTGGTTGGTGCAGCTGTGGAAGTAAAGCAAGGACCAAATTTCCCAAAGCAAATTCATATTGCCAGAGCCTTTGGAAAGGGAGGTTGAAGAGGAGGTAGGAGTGGGAGTAAGAGCAAATTTCAGACTGGCTGGAGCAAATGGGGAAAGGAAAAGGCAGACTACGTCAGGTCAGATTGTATTTGAAAAGGAAGTTAAGGTCCATGGATGACAGGCAAAGCTTATTTCTTTCCCTTTTCCTTCTGAGCCAATCTCTATGTCTGAGGATCTTCCTTCAGTGCACTTCACTTCTGTGTCCATTTCTGGCATATTGTTGACTCCAGACAGTTTGGTGTATGTTGCAAATTCTGCTAAACTATGTTTGGCCAAGCAGTGAAATTGCCATTACAGTTCCAAGCATATTCTTAACTCCAGGATGAATGGGTGCTTTTTCCTGTATTGTAGATGGGAGAGAAAACTTGATTTTTCTTTCACAAAATTGAGGAAACCAGGGGTTTGTGTCTTGGCAGGAAGGTGACACCTCCAGCATCACAAAATCTTGTTGCCACAAGGTGTTATTGATACCATTTCTCTCAGCATTGTCATGTCCTGAATGCCACAAGGAGCCTTTAATGGCTTTTTATGGTTGTAATAGGGAATTTCAGGAAAAGAAGTAGAACAGATTTTGAGTGTGGCTGTGTCAAGAGAATCCTCACAATGAGAAAAGGCACCTGATTCTCAAATGCACAAGCATTACAGCAATGTCCATGTTGAGTTCCTCTCAGCTCTTGCCTCCTTGGACTGTCCCTTGGTGTGATTTTGAATGGCACTGTAAAGTACAGGACCCAGGTGCTGTGGTACAGAAGATAATATTCTGAGGGTAGTGTCTGACCCTTCTGTGAGCTCCAAAGGTAATTGTCTTGGTAACTTTGCATTTGCCTGTGGGGCTCTCTCATAATTAGGCTATTCATGAGCTATGGGGGTTGCTTTCTACTTGTGAATGCCTTTTCTTCCCTTTGACTTATCTTTGATTCCTAGGAATTTATGCACTTTTATTCGCTTCAGAATCCAGTAATGTACAAATCTCTTTCTAAGATCTGCAATATATGCATTTGCCCCATGGGATGCCTCTCTGGGCCCATATTTGGTTTTTGTGTGTAAATATTCACATTGGCCTCACTGCTGCTCACACACGAGAAGGGATCACACTGAGGTGACTGATTACAAATCAAAATTAAAACCACCAATTGGCATTAAAGGTCACATCTTTATTAGAATTATTCCTCCAAATACAATTAGCTCCACACCAATCTGTGGGGGGGAGGAATGGAGGTTTTCTGTGAGTCTGACGAACTTAGACCAACAGTGTGTCATTATCTTGAATAGAGCTTCTTCCAGCTTTTGGTAGGAAAACAACTCATCTTCCACAGCCTCACTTCTCCCTCTCCTCCCAAGGGCAGCACAAAGAAAGGAAAGAAGACATTAAGACTCCTGGTCTTGAGGAAACAAAGTCTGTTTTATTTTTTCCCTATTTTGCTTTTTCCCTACTCTGTTTTATAAGTGACTTCATTCCTTACCCTGTTGGGTGAAGGTCCATCAATACACTTGCTGTGGATGGGCTGCATTTCCATGGCAGTCACTCCATACAGTGACAGGGTAAAGCACTGAAGAGAGCAAGAAGATAAAAACAAATCAGTGGGATTAATGTGATGAGTTCAAGAGGTTATTTGTGCCAACCGGTTCACAGTAAGGCTTAATCCCCAGGGGCTGCACGTAAGCCAAGGTAAATGAAATCTAAGGTAGAAACATGCATAAGAATTTGAAAAGCAAGTGAGCATCAACTTTGAAAAGTGAGAGGAAAGATCAAGTAGAAAGAAAATGTGTAGGCCATTCACTGGGGATGTGAAATAGAAAGCACTGATGAGCTCTTTACTCAATAAAGTATGAGAGAGCAATACAAGCACTGTTTCACCTGCCTCCAAAGTGTCCAGCACTGGTTGATCCCAGGGACAGTCTGAGATTGCACAGACCCTTGTGCAGATTATTTATGTTGCAGAAACAGGTTTGTTGAAGTTTACGTATGTAATAACCCTTATTAGACCAACAGATGTGGTTATCTGGGTTCTTCTTCAGAGCTGAAACGGAAGCAGCAAACCTGCATGTGTCCAAAAGCAGGTCCATGTTTTTAAAATATGTTAGTTGATCTAATAAAAGACATTACTTCTCCCAGCAAGCCTTTCACTGAGAACATTTATGGTGGCTCATATTCCTGTAACTGGGGACTTCAAACCACTTTAGAAACATTACACTAGATAGCATCACATCATATTTATTTGGAAGTTAATTATTATTTTTTATCATCTTTAAAATGTGAGGAAACACAATTGAATAGACTTAACCAAGATAAAATAGGATGTCTGGAGAAGAAATCAGTCCTGGACCTTCTCCTTAGGCACAGTGCTATCATATGGAAGGGTTAAGTTAAACATCTCTCCATAAGTCAGTTTTCCTTCATGCTCAGGGAGCTAATAGGAGAATGAATGCATTTAGTTTTTTTCAGGACCATATGATGAATTTGAAATTTTCCATGGTGAAGCATGGTGAAGTTTAAGTAGCACAAAACTGCCTGTACAAAATGGAGTGAAAGTTTGAGGTGTTCCTGATGTATAATTGCTCTTCATTCTTAGATGAGAATTATGATGTTAATTTTAGAGGTTTAAAAAAAGAAGGAAACTTTAATTATCATACTTAATGGCCACATATTATTCAGTGATCTGCAGCTTTTCTAGATGCTCTGTCATTTCTGACATCTGAAGACAAAATACACTGTCTCTCTTCCAGAGAGACACAGATACACAAGTAAACACAAAATGAGATACAAGTACTATGTTGCAATCTCTTCACATCTATTTATCGATAGAAGAAACAAAGGGGGGAAAAGATTGTGGTTTTTTCAGGATGGTTTGGAATGACTTTTTAAGTTGATTCCTGAAAAAAATATTTGCAAGCCTATCATTTGTTAGCTGAGTCTGTGCAAGTGGCTTGGCTTTCAAACAGTTACTCCTTATTGTCTGTCTGAATTCATCTTTCTAACCACAGGGCTCTTAAGTAATGCAATTCCCAAAGCTAAATGCACATACTGTGCGTCTGCAGATCCTCATAATGAGAGTTGCTACCATGTGCAATACCATGTAAACACCTTTCTTCCTCCAGTTTCTAGAAAAATAAAAGAGAAGGAGATAAAGTTCCTATTGGTACATTTCAAATGCAAGGAATGTGTCAAAAGTCTCCCGAGAAGTCGGGTTTCCTTTATGTCACAGCAACGAAGCAGCAAAATGTGTTTTCTTTCTTTCACTTTGTCAGAATGCAGTGCTAAAGTCTGGGGGTCAGGACCGGTGTCAAATAAACAACTTTACTGTTTTGAATTTTTTAAAGGTTGAAGCTCCAGATAAAACAACTGCCGTTTGCACACAATATGCCCTGTGATCACATGGCATGATTGATGATAAGTCAAAACAAATTTTGTTTATTCAGCTTTAAAGTGAATGTGGTGTTCAGATTTTTCTGCGGTTTGGAGTGCTATTAGACAAACAAGGTGCACATATGGGATGTAGTAAAGGTAGAGGCCTGTTTTCACCAACAACGTGTTTCCTTTCGGCACTGCTGAGTCATCTGTGAAGCCACCCTGGGTTGGAGGCATCTGGCCCCACTGCCCCTTCCACACGGGGTGACTTTAGAGCTGCCAAAGGCTTGGCAGTGATTTTGGGTGCCCCACTCTCCCAGGAAGGCTGTGCACCGGGGCAGGATGTCTCTCAGCCTCGGGGCTGGGCTTGGGGGACCCGGTAGGTGCAGGGAACAGCAGGGAAAGGGCACAATGTTGCATCTCTTACCCGGCTGCTCTGTGGTGTCAGAAAATCTGCCGACCCGTGTCCGTGATGAGCCACCATGGGAAATATCCCTTGAACCCACAGCTCAGCCCCACGGCCCCCACTCACACTGGGAATTGCGATTGGGGCTTAATGTTTGCCATGGAGCATCCCTCTTCTCTTCCCAGCACACAGACACTGCCCAGGCATCGTTTTGACCCTCTCATTTCAACTGAAGTGCTCATCCAGGAGAGGTGTTTTGCCACCCTTCCTCATGCTGAGCAGTCCCTTCCTTGGAGCAGGGCATGAAATGTAGGAAAGTCAGTTAATTTAGCTCCTCATTGCCTCCTCTGGGGTGTGAGCCAGACCTTGTGGGACACCCACCTGTGAAGAGATGACAAGCGTGCACCCCAATGAGAGGCAGGGGCCAGTTGTCTTTGTGCATGTTGGAATTTGTATTTGTCCTCATTTGTGTGCAAGAAGAGCAGGGAGGAGGCCGTGGCATTTTGGATGGGAGGATTTTATGGTTTTACTGCTGAGCTAAAATAGCAGGTTGAAAATAGGAAGGGAGAAAACACTCGAAGTGCACAGTTATTTCTCTGTTGTCTAGGAAGGCTGTGATGTTTGTTTTCCTTACAAAATCAAACTTTCTTATGATTATGCTTGAAAATAGAAGTAAGCTGAACTTATATTTTTCAAAGAGGAAATCCAAGATATTTTTTCTTTCTATAGCAGTGTAGTTCAGCTGAAAGCAACAATTGTTTTCAATTTTTCTAACAGGAAATATCATACCAATTCATTGGGAAAATACAAATGAGGTCATTTTTTCAAGAGACTCAAATATTCCCCAGAGAAATATCAGTAATTTCCTAACACCACTATCGTTTATCCTTGGCCTCCCTTAAACATATTTTTCATGAATTCTTAGCATGGCCCCTTCCACTGAAACTCTCTGTGCAAGAATAAGACATTTGTTATAAATATTATTGCATATAATTAGATTTTCTTTTGATATCTTACGTACAAAAACTTATATATTGGGATATCATAAATAGCGAGGAACTAAATTATTAATATTTTTAAAATTAAATGTTTATTTGCAAAAAGAGTTAATGCTATTTAGAGAAAAAAAAGTTGATGCCTAATTTCATCCCACTTAGTGTATTGTAATTATATGATTACCTATAGAAACTTCAGAGTATGGGTTTTGAAAGATCAAAGTTAGTGAAAAGTCAGCATGTAATTAGTTTCTTGCTTTGGAGCATTAGGTAGAATTACTGCAAAGAGGCAAAACTATCATTTTATAGAGACCCTTAGGAGATTTATAATGATGGTAGACAAATATATGCATACAATATCAGTTGGTGTGCTAAAATTTAATTTTAGTGAGGAAATGTGGTTGAAGGTGATCACAATACATGGGGATGTTCTTATTTTAATATTGGTGGATGTTATTATTAGAGAATCATATCAAAAGATATGTCACCAGGGAGAAAATATCATTTATAAATCACTAATGAGTAGCAAACAGTGTTTAGCTTGGAGGTATAAGACATCTTTTCACAATGTGCATTTATGATCAAACACAAAAGATCAACTGGGGGAAAAAATGAACAGTAGATCTATATTTTATCTTTTAGTTCTCAGCAACATTTTTGACGGTTAAATGGGGTTATACAATGGATGCACTGAATCACACCCTCTCTATAAGGCAGAAAGAGCCCTTTTTATGTGTAACAAAGAGCTCACATTTTGGCCCCCAAATGTTGTTTTCTTTTAGAAAAATCCTTAATAAATAACACCCCAGTGTTAGGATAGTTTGTGCTCCAACATTTCAAGGTGTTCAAGTCCTTTGTACCCCTCTATGTCACAAGCAGAGACAAAATGTTACGTTGGGTCCACCTGTGCACACATGGAAGTCTGGAGGAATTTTACAAGAATTTCAGTGGCTTTGTGATTGAGGCTATTATGTGAGAGAGGATATTTTCAAGACAGAGCTGTTATAACATCATACAACACATCAGGACCTCTTTTCCCACCCACAACATCACACGAATGTGATTTTAGAACAGATTTGAAGCACATAAGAAGAACCTTGTGGATAACCGTGCAAGACCCAATGGAATAAATGAGAGGAGAGCTGAAGCAAATATGTGCATGCAAGAGATTGTCATGAGAGACAGTACAAGGACTATAGTCAAAAAAAGGAAAAGGCAATGGAGAGGTTGAGATGGGAGTCAGGAGGAATATGCATGGAAAGAAAAGGAAAGAAGAATTTGAGAGCAGATATAGAGAGTAATAACTATCATAGTACTTGAAAGAGCAGAAAACACCATCACCACTACTGGTGGTGCATTTAAAGGTGGCTTTTAATCTTTCTGTAAAATGTTACTCATTACAAATCCTGGGGGGGAAAAAAAAAAAAAAAAGAGCAAAGAGAATGGCTTTTGTAGATTGTAAAAATATAATACTGACAAACTAGAGGAAAAAGCTGAACCATTATCTTAAATTACTGCAGATCCAAAGGTCCAAGGGAAGATGGACTTATGTAAATAATTCAGATATTCATTTTAGTGCCTATTACTGTGAACAATTATTTCAGTATTGCTACTATATTTGTCCAATACGTATGTAAGGTATGACATGAGAATCATCATAAAGTATATAGGACATAAAAAGTTTATTTGTGGATAAAGCAGGGATTTTTACTGTTTTATTTCATGTATATTAATTTGATCTAAATGTCTTGCTCTTTATTCTTTCTCCTTTATTAATGTCTCTTTTCATGCTGGAATAAA